AACAGGTGTCCTAGCCATTGTCTCAGTCTATGTAACTCCACGACCCTGTCAGTTGATTTCTGCTCCTTACCTAACACTCAACCGATGCCTCGCCTCAACATTACTTACCATACTACACCACTTAACATGGGAGATAGAGCGGAGACACCAATGATCAAAGACAGCTAGCCAATCTTTCCATGCTTTCCACATTCAATGGCTGCTATAATAATAATAATTTTTGCTCTATTCCAAAAACAGTACTAATGATACAGCAAGGAATTTTCAGCATTCAGTACAATATTGCACCTAATTTACTAAAAAACGACAAAAAAATAAAATAAAAAATAAACATTAGATAATAATAAGAACAAAACGTTGTTATAGCAGCTATGTAGCAAATTACTGTATGCAATAAGGAGAAAAATACGCATAAAGTGTAAAATTATAGTAATAACAACTAAAATAAATTTAGCAAGGTTATAATTAAACGATAGAAAGGGTGACACCATAAAATTACAGAAAGATGAACAATGAAGAGGTCGATTCACTTTGCTAATTACATAGTAACTTATATGTTTCACGTCTAACAGAGTCTTCATCACATAAAATACGGGCTAAATACGGTATTGTTTCACAGCCGGCCATAAAGAAGGATGGAGATAACTACCAAGCAGTCGGATATCACGTCTACTAGGCCCAAGATGAGTAAAGTTGGCAAATATACTCAAACATGCACACACATACAAGAAGGCCATGATGGCTTTGCGGAGTCGTTGTATTCCAGGCCACTGAAGAATTTTTTGACATTCTCTCTGTTTCTTTTAATCACAGTGGAGAAGTGACCAGCAGAGAGATAAATATGTTGCCACCAAGGAATCCCTCAAAAGATCACTGATCATTTGACAGTGAATTTCGAGTCTGTGTTTAGAAAGAGGCCATCCAAGGCAAAGCGTCCAACCAGCCCATTGGAAAACTGATAAGGATTTAGAAAACGATGTCATTTATCATTAGATTTCTTTCTATTTTTCTTTTTGTTTTTCGCATTTTAATTCAATCAATAAATGTCACAGAGAAATAAATAAAGCCAGTCGATATTCAATAGAAAAAAATAGAACAAAATGCTAGACAGAATAGAAGCCAATATATGTATGTATAAAATGAAAAAAAACAAAACAAAAAAAATTAGAATTTTTCAAATCATGTCACATGTTTTAAATTTTCCGCTTTCATATATATTTAAATTTTTAATAATTCACGTTTTGTTTAAAACTTGATGTCATTGGTATTTTGAATTTTTGAATAGTAATAATAGTAGTAGTAGTAATAATAATAGTGGTAGAGGAAAAAAAAACGAAAAAAAGAGTTGAAACGGTATAAATCATTTTGATTTCAGTATATTTCTCTTAAATATTTTTACTCAATAGTTAACGAGCTTGAATTCGTCACCTGTTATCCACAGGTTTGATCCCTGGTTGGATCATGGGGACGTACTGGTTGCTGAAGTGTCTTAAAATAGGACAAAACACCTGTGCAGTATTTATCATTATTATTATTGTTATCACTGCTGTCCTCCTTAGCTGGATCACGATTGCCCATAGGCTCTGATCCCCTCCCTGTTGCCCACGAACACACGCCGGACTCGTCGTTTCTCATTCACCTTCCACTCGAACGATGCAGTGCACTGCGTGAGGTCATTCGGCAGTCATCGGAATGGTATGTTCCCAATCCATCTTCATGTACTCCTACATAATTGTTGAGAAATAGGTTCGTGGTTGGTTCGTCCCCATAGTTTCTTGTTGCTGATTCTTTCTGGCTGGCCATCTGATCTTCAATGTGGGGCCAGAGAAGGTGGCAATTGTTGACAGACGTCCGCAGCTGCCTGTTGAAATTGTTTTTTGTGTCGCGTAAGCCAAATTGCTGACCCAAATAGAAGAACCAAATGACTTAACATTGGTGTTGAAAATCCGAATTTCATTGTTTATGATGCAGACTGCAGAAGATTTCCAGATTGATTTCATAGTGGTGAAGGCGTACTTTGACTTTCTGATTCTGACTCTGACACCTTCAACCGTTCCGCATGTAGTTGAGACAATGCTTCCTAGATAAGTGAAGGCAGTGACCACTTTCAAATTCCTACCGCTGATAGTGATTCGTGCTGGTTGTTGCTGATGATGCGTGGGTATCTTCTCCACTTCGTGTCTTGTTCCCTCTGCCAGTTTATTGGTTTTCACCTGTAAGTCTTCGAGTTCATGTGAAATTAAACGTTACTGATCCGCGAAATCCACGTCTTCTAGAGTCTTCCTATCATTCCAGCGTATTCCTATCTTCTCGCTTCCCATGCTGCATAATCCAGTCGACCACAATTAGGGATATCATCGGTGATAGCATTGAACAGCCTTGTCTTTCTCCTGTATTCATTTCAAAAGCTCCCCTGCCTTGATGGTTCGATGCCAGGCTGACAATGCACTCCTATGCCTTACCTAACCAAAAGTAATACTGCTGAGGAGGGGAGGTTTGGTATCAGGCTAGTAAATCCGCTCTAGTCAGAAGACAAAGTAAAACCACTGCCGCTTCAAAGCTCAAGCTTGAATCCCTATTTTCCGCTTAACGCGCAAGGTAATAAAATAATAAATATATCTTGTTATTAGATAGTTGGAGGCAATCGATAGGAAGCCTAGGACCTAGGTTGCGTGATAGTTAGCACTCGTAAGCAGGGCGTATCCGCAACCTAGTTACTAGTGTCAAATCAAAGTTTCTTCTACAGTCCTACAGGAGGTCAATCGAGAGCCCAAATAGGTGGCTCAGTGGTAACGTCTCTGACTGAAGCACTGGGTAAAGCGGGTTCGAATCTCAGAAGGGGGGACATGAGTTCCTTCAAGATTGCAGATACGCCTTGCCCTGACTGGTGAGTGCCAACTAGCACTAAGCGTAGGTCAAGCAAGGCTTCCTGTAGCTGACTGCCTCCAGCCATCTAATATCATCACCACGATGACGTGCTAACTAGAATGGTGGCTACATTGCAAACCTGACTGATAGAATTCAGTCTTCACCAAAGGAAGGAATAGACATGCCACACTAGTTACTAGTGTCCAATCGAAATACTTTGTTCTTATTATTAGGAATGCGCGTTTAACGTATGAGCTAAACTTTTCTTCTTACAAAGAGACAGAATTTATTGACAATGTTTCATTCCTGGAGGAGTAGAGTCACATTGAAGACCACAAATTTTGATTTTTAAGTACGTTCATGGAGAATAAAGCCACACTGGAGGCATCATTCAGTGGAAAGGAAACTGTTTTGTGAGTATTTGACGTAATTATCACAGGTTTATGTAGACATTCTTGAACCAGGGAAGTTCACAATTATTTTAAGTTGATCTCAGGGTATCAGCTACTGTCTGACACATCAATTCTGTATTCTAAGTGAGGTTTAAGATGGCTACCAGAAACCCGGAAATGAAAATTCTCTTAGTATTTTGCTAAAGATTTTATCTGCTGGCTAACGAAGCTACACCAGGAGCTTTGTTCTAAAAGGTGCAAAGATGTCATTTGCCATGTGCACCTCTAGTTTTTGAGCAAAGGTTTTCAAAGCTCTTCAAAATGAATCCGTTATTTGCACTAAGCTGGTGATGATGGGTGCCGAATACGTCGATTTATCACAAATATTACCTTAATAAGAACCCTCCTGTCACGTAAATACAGTGATTAAGTGTTTACTTTAGCGAGGTGCTATGACAGCATGGCCATAATGAAATGTGCAACGAACGTGACTATTCGATTATCGCTCTTCCCCGTATATGTACTACTGATTGACAGAGATGCGTAGTTTGATACTTCTCACAACGGTCAATAGTGTTTGCTGGTCAGCCAGACCACTGGAAGACCATTTCACCCATTTTGGCACTGAGCTTATAATCATCCGTATACGTGGTTTGGCTCAGCTCACAGATGGAGATAAGTCAGTTCAAACAATCCAATTTCTGGTTAAGCATAAATCAAATTCATGGTCTTCATATTGGTTCGTAACTGCAAATAAGTTTCCGAAATCTGCAACTTATCTACAAATTGTGAACTTAATTCAACGCTGTTTCCGTGGAATTACTTAGATCCGCGGGGATGGGACTTTATTTCGTTAGTTAATCTGATGTCCTGTGACGTGTATGTCTGAACCTGAGGGAGATTATGAGGTTGTCTTAAGATATTTCCTAAGTAGCAACGAATAATATTATACCAGTTCTTGCCTACCTTTCTCACCGTTTCCTAGCTGTAGGATTCGATGGAAAACAGGAAATGGTGTTCAGTGAGTTCTAGTTTCAAGGATAGATCAATTGGTGTGTCATGACTCCTTGATCACAATATGATATACATTATGGACCTCACTAACTGGAGACGTTATCAGAAAGGAGTAGGAACAAAAGTTAATGATAAGCATACTGAAATGGCTCCTTCTCCATTATCCTTCTTCAACCAATAAAAATTGGTGAGCAGCACTCTGAATGTGTCTGTGGCACAGTGGTTAAGATGCACACTGGCCACGCACATGGTCCAGGGTTCGATCCCCGGCCACTGACGCACTCCTTTACCTCGCTAAACCAGCAACAAGACTGGTGAAGAAAGGAGGTTGGGCATCACGCTAGCAACCCATCTCGTAAAAAATATCAACACCACTGTTACCGAAACTTCAAGCCTCTAGCTTGAAGTATCCCTATGTTCCACTGGAAACGTAAAGGAATAAAACTTTCTGCTAGCTCCTGACAATAGAATGAACTTCATTAGGCTGGCGGGGTTCATCAACAAGCTATAAGGATGGACTGTTAACTTTTTAAACTATGAATCCAATAATCGTCGATGAAGAGTTGTCCCTTAGAAATCATACTCTACCAAATGAGATTTCACAAGATTACGAAACTCAGCTTCAGTTTGTTTTCAATACTTTTTTCTCTTTTGAAACAGACTTCTCCATGTAAAATCATAACCAGCCTCTTTTTCTTTTTCTTTGCCTTCATTTTTCACTTTTAGCTGGTACCAGATTCAGGAGCAACCGGATATCTATCAAATTATAAAGTAAGTTAGTTACCGTTTAAATTTATACTCACGTGCAAAAATATCACTTGTTTTAATAACTCGAATATTTGTGAAGTGTTTAGAAAAGCAGATTTCTGTGAGTTATATTCATTCATCCCTGTAGTATATAAACCATAGTCAACTGTGCTCACAGAGTGGAATATAGGTAATTACAAAATGGATATAAGTTGGATAACAACGGTGAACCAAGTAGCAATAGAAATCTGTTTTGTCATAGTTTGATGGTCTTCAACTGTTGGTACACTAAAGTTCTAATAATGAGGTGTAACTGCTAAGATGCCCTTTGCCTTATGAGAATCAGGCAGAAGCTCCTCGACGATATTGACTGACTGTGACACGAACTGACAGAAATCACAATTTGTGGGTTATTGTGTAACGACTAAATTTATTCGGTTATGGTCTGAATCCTCTGAATGGTCTCCTTTACCCACTTGGGAAGCATCGTTTCAACTACAGGTGGACAATAATGATGAGCATATCAAAAAGAGGATTGGGAAATCAAGGCAAGCTCTCACTGCTCTCAGGTCTGTGTGGAGATCAACAACACTCAGCATGAAAAATAAGATCCGGATTTTCAACTGCAATTTGAAGTCAGTGCTACTTACTATACGGATCACAGACTTGGTACCGCGCCGCGTCATGAAGGCCACTTTGAACAAACTGCAGATTATCATTAACAGCTCTCTTCGCTCAATACTACTCAAGATCAGATAGCCGGCCAGGAAAAATGAGCAACAGGCAGGGATCTCTGCCAGTGAACGAACCAACCAACCAGGTACCAATTGTGCGACAAACAAGCAGGAAGAAATGGAGTTAGGTGGATTGGCCATACTCCAATAAAACCATCAAGTGGCATCACATATCAGGCCATCGCTTGAGTGGAACCCGAATGGGAAGCGACGAGTTGGTCGTCAATGCGAGAGTGACATGGAGGAGGTTATATGAAGGGGAGATGAAAACATGTGCACAGACGCAGAGCCAAGTGAGAAGGTCGGCAGAGAACCGAACGCAATGGAGGCGTTTAGGCCGAAGCCCCATTTTCCTCTAGGAAATAAAGGAAACAATAATAATAGTCGTCAGAATGCAAGAAACCGATCTGTAGTTTCTACTGCATAGCCGATGAAACTTCATTGAAACACCTGCTCTCATGAAACATTCCGAAAGCAGGGAAAAAACGATTATTCTTCAACATTTTATTGGTTCCATTAAACGACAACAATAACAATAATATCAAAACTCGAATTTACCTTGACAGTCCTGTGAGACAACTAGCTACACAGATAATGTAGGCCTCGAAATACAAAACAAGTACTGTAAGACAAAATTAGATAATGAAAGTCCAGCTATAAAAAGTACCTTATAATCAAGGAGAATTTACGCAACGAAATGGGACCTAAAGCTCTATCCACGAGAATCAAACACAAACACTTCTCGCCACAGACAGTCCCAGTAGATCGAAATGACTTTCATTCACTCAAACAAACTCTTATCGTTAAAAAAGATCACAAAGGGAATCATTACAATTAAAGACTGAACAAGGACACAGGCAAATAAAAAAGCTAAATATCAATATGCGATATGTAAATAGTAAATTAATGATACACAGTTTAGGGAAGGAACGCATAATAATTACGGAGTTAGTTGAAACGTCTTTATTATACATATATATATTATTCCCTTGCGTTCCGAGTGAAACATAGGGCTTTAACAATGCATCCCCACTTTATTCTGTTTTCTGTCGCCCTCTTCAGCTGGGTCCACGATTACTAAAACTCTCTCAGCCCTTCTTCACACAATATCCTCCATGTCACCCTCTCACTGGAGACCAACTCGTCGCTTCCCATTTGAATTCCACTCGAGGAATGGCCTGCATTGAGCGCGATGTCATTCGGCGGCCTACTAAATGTATGTCCTATCAATCCACCTCCACTTTCTCCTACATATTTACTGAGCGACTGGCTCTCGGTTGTTGGTTTGTTCCTCTGCAGAGTTCCTTGTCGCTGATCCTTTCTGGCTGGCCGGCCATATGATCTTCAATATGAAGCCAGTGAAGACGACGGCTGTTGATGAAATTCTTCAACAAGCTGTTGGAAATCTTTTTCGTGACACGCTGGCCAAGTTTCTGACCCGTTTAGAAGAACCGAAAAGTAAAAATAAGTATAAATGTTATAAACAGATCTTCCCGAAGGAATTTTCCGGACAGCTTGTCCATTACACATTCTACTCTAACCCACTATGTGAAGCTCTGTGTTATGGTTTTTTGATAAAATCATAGATGCATACTGCTAGTGAATTTCAGAGGATAACCTAATAGTAGGTCGAGTTTTTTCAACAGTGTAGATGAGTACCTGAATAAATTATCAAAGTGAATATGTTCTGTTTGGAACAGATGGTTTCAAACTTGAGCTTTGAAGTTTATGTAGTCATCACGCTGTTTTTAATGAGTAGGGCGGCTAGTCTCAAACCCGATTCCTGCCGAAAGAGTGAATACATCTCAAGCGAGACACGGATATTCAACACTAGTGCTAAATTAATACATCAGAGGGTTGCCACGTGATGAAAAACATTTCCAATAGACTATTGTTGACTTTTCTCAACAGCTGCCTTCACCTGCTCGATACTGAAGATGGAAAGGCAGAAGGTGACTAACAACAAAACAACTCTGACAACGAACCAATCAATAATTTATCTCCCAAAAAGTATGCAGAGTTAAATGGAGACAGATTGAACCTGCCCATACTCGCCAGACCTGTAGATGAAAGCCGAATGTGAGAAGACGATTTCAGCGTCCAAGACCCAGACGGAGGAAATGGTGTTGAGGAGTGGGATCGAAGCTTAAGAGGAATTGTAGAACTATCCAAAAAGAGGAAAATGGAGAACAGGATGAAACGGAGACGTTCTGTTGAAGCTGAATACTCCTCTCGGAACCCGAGGGAATAATAAACCAGTAATTATGTAAATGAAACGTGTTCAGTAAAGGCGAAAAACGCCAACTCTAGGTTAATGAAGGCAACATGTAATAGTGATAGCATTATTCCAAACAGTACTTTTCGTACAAAACGAAACTTTCCGGTATGTGCTGCGGCTTTGTATCTAACTTCTGTACTACAGGGGTAATAATTAAGGCAGGGCTTTAACACTGATAATATTGTTCATTGCGAATACGAATACAAAATTATAATTTGAGCAAAAATATTAGCAACGATATAATCATGGAAAACAAAAACAGAGAGTCGTTTACTCAGAGTTCCACAATAAATTGGCAGTGCCCTGCCTTACACTTTTCTCATCACATAAAATGTAAACTAGAAAAACTATTGTGGAGTGTTTACACTCAGTTGTTTGAGTGTAAAGTCTCCTATAATTGCTTCTAGTTCTCCCACCTGATAAGATGCAGCAAAGAGACAGTTGTGTACAGATAGGCTGCTCAGCGTCCAACACAATGCAATATTCGCTAATTTCATGCATGAGGCTGTGTGTCTATGTAGAACAGTATTAATGAGTTGGTTTAGCAGCACGCCACACTCACCCTATTGACAGCGTTTTAGTGCCTTTTGCGCCGTATAACAATGTCTCTCTTAAGCAGCCAGAGAAAGACTAAGGTTCAGGGGGTGCAGTAAAGAAGGATAGGTAGAATAGAAGAATTAACAGTTTGTAAAAGTAGATACTGACTGAGTGATATCAGACTGTCCCAACTTCTTTGTGTAGTAGAACGTTAAATGAAATACGTTTCTGGAAAGTAACATGATTTGAGAAGATCAGAAAAGATGAGAGGGGAGGCATAATTCAACTTCGGTGTCATCTATGATAGGGGAACGGCAAGAACTGACTAGTTCACGTAGACGGTGCAGGCGTGTCAGAGAAAGAAATTGACAACCTGACAAATTTGGAAGGATTCGTGTTAGTAGTATTTGAAATAGACCACTGACTGATTTCATTTTGGAACATTCCGACTGAGAAGTAACCGCCGGCATTGGAATGGTCAGCTCTTTAGCATACTTTACCAAACTGGCTTCATCAGAATGGATCAAGCTTAGTGATTTCATTAACTAGCCACTTCGATTGTATAAATAGCAATTTTGTTTTATTCCTTAACGTTACTAGTGGAATATAGGGCTACTTCAAGCTAGAGGCTTGAAGTTTAGGTAACAGTGGTGTTGATATATTTTACGGAATGGGGTTGCTAGCCTGATTCTCAACCTCCTCTCTTTACCAGTCTTGTTGCTGGCTTAGCGAGATAAAGGAGTGCGTCCTTGGCCGGGGATCGAACTCCGGACCACATGTGGCGTGGGTGGCGAGTATTCTACCTCTGTGCCACTGATGCATAAATAGAAATAAGTGCCATTATTTTCGCTCAAGATTTAAAATCACTCACTGATCTGCATCAATTTTGTTTCAATGATAAACTTACAGTGTAACGAAAAAATGTGTAAATGTATTCAAATGTGAATAAATATTTTATCATTTAATATCTTAAATAAACATTTGTTCCTAACAAAATTTTATTCACATGTATAGCTTCTTTTAGTAATAATTTTTTCTTTACATTTTCTCTCATCTTTTGTTGCAAATTGTATCAATAATATGAAAAAAAATGAAGACAGAAAACAACATGCTTATTTCTGTATTCTACACATCTATTTGTATCCTTTGTATATTGATCACTATGTAACAATCAACTCACGTCACCATGGTGATCATATTGTGAACTTAACTGTCATTGAATTCAATCTACACTAACTAACACCTGGAACTAGGTACATAATAGTACATACTGCTTAAGTGGTCAATTGTTGTATGCACTACGGTCCTATAGGAGGTCATTTGTGAGCTCGAATAACTCAATGATAACATCTTTGACGACAGCAATAGGTGGTGTGTATCCAAACCTCAGAGGGGACATTATTTCTTTCACGGCTTCAGATAAGCTTCGCTGAAGAATCCTAAGATAGACGAAATCTAGGCGTTCAGAGTTTCCT